CGTCCATCATATTTATGGGATCCTGGTCGACAGTTCGGGCCGCGATAAACAAAAACAAATGAGTTCCGATAACAGACTTGATAAACCACCGAAATAAAAAGCCGAAAACTTTTCTCCATTTACGTTTCAGCTCGACTTATCCTCGTATCGGTAATATAACTTTCACGCTTAGTATATCGTCTGACGCTGTTTTGGTATTAAATACATATAGATAGATATATACGACGTGACAGGTGAAGTTGATAAAAAGAAATCAATGTATTAAAAATGATTATATTGAAAATCATGAATTACGTAAAGTTTCATATAAAAACTTCCCTTTGCACTTATAAATCTGCAGATTGGTCCATACGCTCTGTCACGGTTTTTGAAAAGTCAGTGTGGGTTAGTCTGCGAGTAAATACAAGATACAAATAAGATGACAGCTGCCTCTGATATCTCTTTTGATCATGTCCACCTGAACGTACCGTTCTCATATTGAGATGCTTGGTGTCTCCCTTTGTTAAGTATCGCGTTGATGATAATTATACGAAGCTTTCGTGAAAACAGACGCGGTAGAAAGAGACGGGGCGACCACTGGGCCGATGCTCTTGCTCTCTAGGGAAGGGATGGGCCAATTTGGATGGTTACCAAGGCAAACGATACGTTAAATAGATAGGACGGGTTACCGGTGGGGAACCAAACATAATGAGGACCACCCGCTAGCTTCTTGAGACTACTACTCGGTACACGTACTCCGTGTCATCGGGTTTCGTTTATACGTCTCCCTTTTAGTGTGGCAAAGTCAAATTCGATTTTCTTATACATCAGCCTCTTCCGTTACCCATCGGGTGTTAACGGCGGGAAATTCAAACAGTGAAAAATACACTGACGTACTGAAATGTGTAGGATCATGTGTATGGAAATTAGTAGTTTTGGTAATAAAAGTAAAAATTTTGACTCATTTTTTTGGGATCTGGGGGTAGGGGGTTAAATCATCATAAGTCACTCTCGCTCACTTCAGGGGTCCATTTGGATACCGAAACACGAGTCGTGCTGGTTTTCTTTGGTTTTGTTACACTTCCGTGAGACACCCAAGGAGTAATTAGCTCTTTCGCAGTCTGGTTATAAAACGAGTATTACTACTGTGAAGTAGCTGGATAATTAATATAGGGAGTATATTTAAAACGCTGGTACATTCTTGGGCGAAAGTAATTAACAGCGAGTGAGTTACCGAGGGTATCTTTGGGGATGAAAAATTTTTTTTATCGAATGATGGATTTTTGGGAGAATTTTTGAAAAATATTTTTTTTCCAACTCTTTCTTCTATTGTGTAATCGTCGCGTGGTACGCTTTGAACACTTTGCGGCAAATCGCTTTCCAGTGGGACAACCTGTACATGAACTCGCTTAAGTGTCCCGCGACTATGCAGCCGCCGTTAATTATTAGCACGCCGCTATACGGAGCGTGAAAAGAGTATTTCTTTTAACCGAGGTAAATTCAAGTCAAATTGTCGTTAAAATTGCAATCACGGTGGTCTACGTTTCTCTTGAGTTTCCGTCTCGGGAGCGGACCGCTCTGGACCACGAAATTAGATCGTCTATTCTCAGAGAACTTGACTCGCTTGCAAAGTGACTCTGTAAAGCAAGTGGAGAGCACGCACAATTATTTTGAAGAAAAAAAAAAAAAAAAACGAATTTCACTAATTCAGTCAAATTTGTTAATTTTTGAAAAGTCCAAAGCAAAGTTTATACGCGTTGTACCATACATAAAAATGAATCACCCTGTAAGTCTCGAGTGTTCTGATTTTTAAAAAATAAGCGTACAATTGATACGATCCAAATAAATTGACTATACAAGAAACATCCCTTAAAAAATGCAAAATTTGCAGATATTCAATACCTAAAATCATGACAATGCCACGCCGAAAATATTTCATCCAATTGGTAATTGAAAAGAAAATCCCAGGGGAGAAAGACTAGAAATTCAAGTACGCCAATCATCCCTTACGATGCAAAGTACAAAATCCTATCAAGCTGGTCCCGAATAAATTGGCTTAAGTTAAGCGGCGAATCGTAAACAAAAACAAAATACCAGTATATTAACAAAAAGAGGATGTACCTTTAGATATCAAAAATGAAAAGCGATCATTTACCAACCCCTATAGAATCCGATCTAAGAGACAATCCTCTAAAGTTCATCCCTGTAGGTATATTTTGCGAACAAGCGACAAGTCAATATTACAAAAGGGAGCATCAGGGCCAAATCCACGTTAATTAAGGGTACTACCCCAGCTACCCTTATAGTTATAATACACAGGCTTATAGGGTTGATTTTGACCTCGCAAATACCCGCTCGTTTGTTACAAATTTTTTTTCACCAGCAACACGAACCATTTTCACTTGCAAGCGTTTCCCACTTTTTGCGCCACGTCCGGTCGCTCGCGTAGCCAATAATTGAATATTGGCATTGCAGCACGAGGGCACGTATCTACATGTGTATAAGGCCTACCATATATGTATACCGCGTACCGGTGAGCAATACAAAAATGGCCAAACAGAACGGTGTAGGGGTAGCCGAAATAGAAATGGTAGAAAAGGTAGTGAAAGGTAATGAAAATATAGTGGAGGCTTTACAACAGTATATGTATATATGAGAGAGAGATAGAGAGAGAGAGAGAGGGAGAGAGAGAGAAGATACGAGAAAAGCAGTACGAGAGCGGACGTCGCGGTGCGCAAGTGGGAGGTAAAATCGATATTTTAATTGGACAAAATAATTGGAACGAACGAACGAATGGAAGATCGTAATCTCTAGGTTCCCTTTGTATTGGCGAGCTCGCGCATCCCGTTCCTCCCCTGTCCTCTTTTCACCCCCTGGTAACCCTCTCGAAAAGCCTGCACCTTCCACCACGTGTATACCGGTAGGGATAATATTGTGTCTCTGACTGTGTATACCGTACAGATGCCGAAGTAAAAATTCTATCTGTACGTTTATATGTGAGTATATATATTATTGATATGGTAGTAGACGAAAGTATACACGAGCATATACATCAAACACGTCCCACGTAATATTTGATAATTTCATAATGTTTTCAGTTAATTAAATTTCAGTTTCCCTAAGCGGCTTTCCCGCGGCTGATCCTATGAACGATCATTTATTGTCATCGTTCGTATACCGAATCGCCATGGTTTAGTGGTCAATATATATACCGGGCTTCGGTAATTAGAATATAGCCAGGAAAATCACGGCGCTGCTGCCATCATCGACGGGCAACATCAAAAACCTTTGAAAATCCTCGTATAACTGGCTTAATATGTATTTCGATTCCCCGTCAGCTTTTCCGCGCGACATTACAATCGTAAATGTTATTTGAATGTTTTTTTTTTCAAGCTTCAATTATATCTGCTACCACCTTGTATATATTTTATGATTCAAAATATT